AGAATGAACCCAACGAGTTTGTATGTTGGGTTTGTAGTATAACTACACGAACCAAGAACAGAGTGAGCATTTTAGAGATATAAGTAAGTGAGCAGGTATAAATGCATAAACATTATTGCGTAAATATTATGGCAAACCAGAAACTAGGGAAGTGAAAAGATGTTTCCTTCAAATCAGGCAGGATGGAGACGGATCTATAAAATTAGCAAAATAATTCATTTACCTAGATCATGGGACCATTTACGTGCTGGAACTGCCACTAAAATTTACCAGAAATGTTTAAATAATTTGGATCATACAAATACGTCTGAAGCCGAATTCTTTTGCATTTTCTCAACAGCAACTTCTTCATGATTAGTACTTCATCACGTAATTATGATTATCAAAACCAGTCATTTAGCCACTATATGCAAATATTGACAAACTATTTGTTCACCATTTATTTCGATCATTGTGATACCAATGAAACTAATCGCTATACAGGGTATGTCACGACGAGCTTAAATCCATGAAAATATATGCATGCTTATATTTCAGAATACGTTTTCTTCATTTGAAATATTTTCGACAATGCAGTGTTGCCGCTTCTACTAGAAAGTAGTAGCAACATTGATATTTCAAACGAAACACCCTGTATTTTATTGCATACATCACACTTGGGGTCCATCGGTAATGATTACAGAGATATAGAGTGTTCAAAATCGAGATTTTTCAACTTTAGGAATTGTATCATAAATATCAGTAAATAGTAAATCAAAAGTTGAGATAGAGGGACATGTGAGCCGTTTTGACCGATAATGAATAGTTTCGACACAAAAAAATCCTGAAGTTGAAAAATCTCGATTTTGAACACCCTATCTCTGTAATCATCTTCGATAGATCCCAAGTAATTGTTTTATTTTAAGAGGATCGTTGAGACTAAATATCTTTGATGAAAAATGTCAATGACTTCCACAGAGCACTCTTAAAACCAAGTCGATCTGAATACCAAATAGTTCTATGCACTAGCTTTCTCATAGTATCTCAAAACCTTTTGATGAGATTGAATAGGTATCCCTGAAGATTATTCAGCTATTTGCAAGGAGTTCATAAACCGTATTAAGTGGTTAGACTTATTATTTGCTCTCACATAACCCATTCGGAGCCTACATTTTACTTGGGCGTATTCCGAGTTGTTACTGCAGAAAATACGTATACTTTGTCAAAATAGAGCACCAGAGTGACTAGATGACTTCTATAGTTCTTTGAAATATGAAGTTTGATTGCATAGCCGGAATGCCTTCATTATTTGTGATTACCTACTGTAATAAAATTGAACTAATCATGAATATTGCTTTATGTTATTCATTTTTCATTGAATAAAATTATTCAAGTCTGTAGTCTGCTATAACAAATAGAGAAAATAAAAAACTGTGGAATTGGGTATATACATTTTTATCCATCATAAATCAAAAATCTCGTTCTTTCGTGTTCAATAATTAGGTCACAATTCTTATTTCGTTCGAAAGTCAATAGTATTATGATCCTCTTTGAATTTAATTAAAACAGAACAAACTTCAATTTCATATTAAAAATATATTCAAAATATACGAAAATAAAACTTGGGTTGACTGTCATGTTGCTGTATTTAATGAGTATTTCGTAGTATATTAACTATAAAGTGGTCAACATATTCCAAACGTTCAAATATGAATTTTCGATCAAATCTGAATCATTATAAATTCCGATATCCACAACCGATTTCCAATATCTTCCAAGTTGTTGAAAGCCCGTTTCATTGATTATCGAATCTGTTGACGTAACTCATTTTGTTGCAGGGCCTCAGAATATAATAGTAGAGAATCATAAAAACCAGTGTGCAATATTTTAAAAGTTTCGAAGACCTTCCGTTGGGTCACTTTTGTTTTTTTGAGTGAGAAATATTATTTCATATATTGAAACGGTTTTCAAAATTCAGGAATTGTGCATGAGACACCATTATTTCAGTAAGGAATGAATTATTGTACATGGACTTATAAACGAATTGTACCTATATGGAGACTTTAAAAACTTCAAGGAAGATCAGCGACGCCTATGAACTTCAGTGTATTTCTATCATTATTCTCATTTACGTTCGACATATTCTGTTTTTTTTTTTCGACAAAAATAACGATTTTATGGATCATCCGTAAAATAATTCCTCACTCGAAAGTGGCATTATTTGCTCCGTTGAAAATTTCAATAACAAAATAATTGAATAGTCGACTCCACCGTCATACACTCATTTCAATTTCAATGGTTCAAAAATCTGAGTTTCCTCATTGTTTGTGCGATACTAGGTTTATTGATTCATTCCAAATTTATATTTTATTCTTAATTTATAGACCACTGTTCGCGTTGTAAATATCAATAGCAGCAATACTCACAAGTATGCATTTCTTTCAGTACAAACATCATATTTCACCAAAGTGCATGACAATTCTTGAAATTCCGAATTCATTTTGTGAAAACATGTTGTATGACATATTTTTGACTTCGGAAAAAATAACAAAAAGTTTGTCCTAATGGAAGCCCTTTGAAAATTTTGTATAAACCTGTTTTATTCCGAGGCGCTGTAACAAATCACGTAATCCAACTAGTAGGTTTTTCTGCGGTTTTATATGTTCTTGGGGGTGCTGAATCTAAATCTGAAATATCTAAACAAAATTTCCTGGAGCACAGAAAACTTCGAAATTTTCGTACATTTTTCAGTTTTTTGCCCGTTACTCGGAAACTATACATTTTAGCGAAAAGACCAAACTTAAAAAGTCTTAGTAGATGACATTTTCTATATATAATTATGCTTGCTGATGAATGTAGAAGTTACGAGTGAGGAGCTAAAGCATCAAGTTAAAAATAGACCAAATTTGCGTATTTTGCAACAAATAGTGTTCTTCGTCGGTTCTCGTAGATTATCCATGATCAACGCACTTCTAGAAAAAACAATATTACACTGCCTGATGTGGAAGAGTCCTGGCCATGTTAGTTATTGCTGTTGTCGCAGCCGTGTAACTCGATTCTTAATTTGTTACAGTATTCAAGTATATTTACAACAATTAGGTAGAATCATGTTTTTTATATATGCCTCTTAGTTATTGTTTAGCCAAAAAAATCCAAGTGTCTCTCATAGAAAGAGGATGCGATCACCTTGGAGCGAACACGATCTGCTCCACCTGCATCCCCCACCAAACCACGATGAAGCGACGATTATATTGTTGATTGTAGGGTTTCCCATCATCTAATCGTCTTTTTTAACCCAAAACGCTTCAGAAAGGTGTTATGGATAACTGAAACCACTCCATTCAGGTCTCTCTGAAGTTTCAGGAACGTCCCAGTGAATGTAAATGTCCTACCTCAGTGAAGTTTCATGAAACGTCCCGCACACGTTTCAAGACAACCATTCTGGACACGTCTCACGTCCCAATAAAACTGTCCTGGACACGTTTCCACAAAACTACCCTGAACACTTTTCAAATAGTAAAAATTCTATCTACTACAACTTTTTATAAGGTGCTCTTTCCGATATAATGCATAGTTTCCGATTTACGGGCAAAAAACTGGAGAAAATGCGAAAATTTCGATGTTTTTTGCGAATAACTAGGAACGCTCCAGGATATTACGTTTAAAAACTCAAGATTCAGATTCAGCACCCCCGAAAACATATAAAACCGTAGAAAAACCGATAACTTGAGTTTTTTTTCACATGCAAATACCATTTCATTGGACTGAATTGGAAATGGGAAGTTATAATGATGTAGTTCGAGAATTTTCGATTTCAGATTTTCATTGTAGAACAGTTTATATTATATGACCACTTTCCAAAAACTGTCGAAAATTCAAGACGCCTGAAATGTACCTACTGCTGCCTATCGAGTACCTATTGATTCAGGCAAGAGTCAAATATCTCTGAAACAACTGTTCATAATTTCATTTTTTTGAAAAAATCTCAGTGAAATTATCACATAGGTGATAATGTATATTCAATTTGAAAATTTCATAGCTATTTGTGCTACATTCTGCGTCTTTCTGAAACTCACACCAACTTCTTCATCGTTTTTCATATAGGTATTCCTTCAGAGATACTTAATACGATTCATTTAATACCGGGTAACGTATTAGGCCAATGCAATTACTCAAATACTGAAGGTAGTTCTTTATTTCAAATATGTTTTATATACTGTATTCCCAATGTAAAATCCATGTTTTCGAACTTGGCGTACATGTGCGTTCGTCACAATTTGTAAAAACCATCAAAAACATCAGTGACTTAATAAAATTGTTTCCATAATATCTTCCTTCCAATGCGAATAAGGTTAAAAAATTTGACTATATATTCTATACAACATCGAAAATTCGATAATCTCTTTATTTCCAAAATTGTTTTGACCTTAAAAAGGACCTGCTATAGGTACACATGAGCAGGTTATTTTACTGTATTGGTGTTTGGTAATAAGCTACCGGAATCTATGGAGGTTACGTTCGTTCAAATAGAAACTTTGCTTATTCATTTTAGATCTCCTGTGGCATTTCTCTATCAAACAAATTATTGTTTAATTCATGCTGTGAATTCCTATGCAAAGTAGAAAATTTTAGGTGTCCCATAAAAACGAAGAATGTGGCAAAAAGGGCTTGTCATTTCTGCATTGGACTTATTATGTTTCTACCCTGTAAATCCGATCTAGAACTTCTGCCAAACTTCAACTTTTCACTTATAATGATCCAAGGTTTCAGTCAACTCTCGAATGAATAGGTATATGCTGAAAGTGATTCATTCATCTGCCTTTAGTTCTGCTTCGAGTGCGTTCAAATTGCCATCAGTAATGCAAGAACAAAAATGTTTTCAATGATGATTTCATAGCTTATGAATGATTAATACCTGCTGACATGTATGCATACAGTTAGATTATATTAGTTGGATCAGGAAAATTCAATAAGAACTTGATTAGGTAGATTAGCTGAGTAAACAAAAAAAAAATACTCACAGTTTTTGCATTTGCATTTCTTAATCAATGTTTCATCCTTTATCTCATCGTGGCATGCTTTGCAGTAGAACCAGGCTCTGGAATATATATTTGGATTTTGAAGAAAATATGAGAGGCATTAGGTTGATAGTTGGAGTTGGGTTTGTATGGTTCGATATCTCCACAAAATGAAAATATTTTGTTCATGACAAATTGATACATTGATGATTTCAATCAGAGACAATACAATTCTTCTTTATATATCCATTAACAGTAGATTCATAACTGGTATCCGATTTTCAGAGCAGATATCCGAAACTATGCAAGTATGGGAAATAATGGAAGTCCCTATTTCCAATGAGCACTTTCATCCCAATACACCTAGGGCATAAAGTGGTATTTCAAATCTCTAGACAATTAAACTCTACTAAACGGTAGTTTATCTATTTCTAAAACATCATCGAAGGGGATGATTGTTACCATATCAACAAACACAGTAACCATGGTGATCCAGATCATGATTGTCATCGGCAATTGAAAATCTTGGTGTGTTGTGACAAGTGACTAAGTAAAACATGAATTGATAAATATTAGTCGAACACGCCACACCGATTCAAAGACGTTGATCGTGATGGAACAAATCGAAAAGGTAGCTCAAGAAGCTGAAGGCCAATTATTACCAAGAAAATCTGGAGAACAATATAAAAAAGAGTTATCTGAGCTTATCAAATGGTGCGAAGAAGGAAACGTAAAAAAATGTACAGAAGAAAAGGTACGGCTAGCATATTTCCCGGAAAAGTCAAGAAAGCTTAAAGCATCGTCATTGTGGAGCGTATATTCGATGATAGAAACCGCAATTGCAACAGACATTTCGAAAATACATTCCTAAATCTAGCTTCCGTTGCGAAGAAATTTAGTATGAATCCCTAGGGATTTAAAGTACCCCATTTCTCACCGAAAATAGAGGATCAAGGTACCTTTTAAATCCCTGAAGTGCATAACATATTAATGTCATTCAATGGGCGCCAATTTTTTTATTTTGAGAAAAAAATAGTTTTTGAAGCCCTGAGCTGGAATATTTTCCAACTCTCCATTAATGTATCCACTCTATGACTTGTGGACTTGACAATCATCCGCATTTTTAGGTGATAATACCGATATATATTCATTAGCTTCGGCCCAATGAGATAAATTCAGATACCTATCTGCATCTTTGACTATCGATGCGATCCAACAATGTAAACTATATTGACATTCTCTGAAGATTCTTCGAGTGTCACTCACTCCAAACAATTCTAGTTATAATGAACTGATATGATCCCATAACAAGAAACACTTTTTTGTTTTTGTGTCAGTTTCACATAAACCATGAAATAAATGAGTATGAGTGTTATCACCTACTGATTTGATATTTTCAAACTATATGATGGTTCTCGTGAGAGTTGAAACAACTCTCGAACTCACCTTTTGACTTCGTCAGCAGATTGGGCAATGAAAAATCCTTGTGTGTTGGCTACGATTTTCGCACCTCTAGGATTTATTGATATTTTTGTGTCCACTCCTTCTGTTCCTTTCACCTCGATGGCCAACAAAAGGAGTTTGAGTTTGGTGAAGCAGAGCCTATAAAAGTAACATTCACATTTTTATTGGTGATGTAATTAGGTAGTATTCAAGGTAATTTGATATCAGTTAAAGAACATGCTCGAACTATCATAACTTCGACATGCTCAACTTTCAACTGTTTATATAGGTACGCTTCCTAATATCATGGTAGTGATCTGATAAATTGGTGGATACAAAGTTTTTCGGCTATCGAATGAAACAGAGTTACAAATAACTTCTCTTTCTAACGTGTTACATACTTACAAGTTCTCTTCTGATTTTCTTGAAAAAATATTTTCCAAACAGAATCTATGTAGGTAAAGCAAATATATGTCGCATTTCCTGGTACATATGGAATAACGCTTTACCTGAATCGCTACATAAATAGATATTTACAATTTAGCCGGTTATGAATAGTGAGCCGTTCAGGAACTCCTGAAAAGTATCATATGACCTACTTGTCAGAGATCATTGAGAAACGCAACGTTAAAACATAATACAACCATGAAAAATCTGAATACCTACATATTTTCATTTCAGTAATTCTGAAGAGAGATAGTATAGGTTAGGTGTATTATCTTCTACGTTTTTATCGATTGCAAAATGTGATCAATGGCCGAAATTTATAACCACAATGGGTCTCAAAATACGCTATATTTGCTAGCTCAGTACTCGTCGCTGTTTTTTTTTGGAAATTGAAATATCTCTTCTACAGTCATCAAACTATAATCTATTATTGAGGTTCGAACAGACTGATCCACTGATTTGCTCACATCGCATTGTAAGCATAATACCTAATAAATAATGACAGAAAAAATACTCGCAATGCGTTCTGAGCAAAAGGCGGATCCTACCTTTACCTAGCAACTACAGTCGCAGGTGGCAGCCAATATTGAAGATACATAACTTAATTTTCTGAGTATCTATGGTCTATGGTTGAATGTCAATCCATTCAATATGTTTAGCTGTTGATTGACCAATTACTCGTTATTTACTAGAAAATATGATTGACCGCCTACGTTACTCTAGATGTACAGGGTGGAGACTTCAACTGGAATAAATTCGCTACTGGGAGAGTGGATGATTTTTCTCAAAATTCACAAGACACGTCAGCGTACGAATGTATTCAACTTTATTTGGAGAGCAATATGGAGAATATAACCCTTCAGGGGTAGCTAGAATCACAACCAACATGTTTTTTCAAATGAGACCCTATGGCTTGCGACCCCTCATTGGAAAGCTGGTTGAAAGATGAATCCAGCGTACTGATCAGATTTTAGTTTGCAGTACGTTCGCCTTTCAGTGACAGTGGTTTAGGGCATTGATTTAGGGCATTTCCACTTCGTTTCGAACTGTGAATACGGCAAAAAAACTGAATTTCTTTTTGTGTCTCTATAAAAACAGTAGAATACAATAGCAGATAGCAGTTGTAGCAACAAACTGGCATCAATTATTCAACACACATTCGAGCTACTGATACGTTGAAAAAAAAATTGAATTTTAAAATTACATTTCAATTTTGTGCAACCTTTTAACGTAAGAAAAACCAACATTTAACTAGTACGCTGGATTTTTCTTTCCACCAGCTTTCCAATGAGGAGTCACAAGCCATATAGGGTTATATTTGAAAAAATCATGTTGAGGGTGGTTTCAGCTACCCCTGGAAGTATATATTCTCGATATCGCGTGCAGAAAGTAGGTAAATACAGTAAATCATCGATGTATGCCGGGAATTTTACGAAAGGATATTCACTTCCCCGCTAACAGTTAAAGTCTCTACACTGTATATATATTGACTACAGCTATTCGCATGAAGCAATGGGTGCTTGTATGATGTTCCTATTATAACTTTTCATCCCGATTTCTTGTGAATTGGGTACCTACGCAATTTCTGTAGAAATTAAGCTCTACTCAAAATGTGTTCGAAGTAATCAGTTACAAGTTACAAATTATTATTCAACTTTTCTGTTTACGCTCTGTAGCTGTACATAGTTGTGTGTCATAGTAGTAATAGTATAGATCTGGGATCTGGTGGTGTGTAGTGAATTACAGTCTTCCCCAGATAACATGTCGTGGTTGGATGAAGCAGATGTGATAGAGTCTTATCATGTCTTATAGTGCCAAACATAGGTAATTATCAAATTATGAAAAGTCGGAACATTGACCAGAAAACAAAAAACGATTAATGAAGAAAATATATTTTTTCTTGACAAAGTCACAAGTACAATTGAAAAATTAATGAATATCAACAATTTCATCTATTCAGAATCAAATGCAAAGCTGATTCTAAGGAAGTCGTTGTCGAATAATAATCTAATTGTCAGAACAATTACAGTTTTTATAAAATTAATATAATATAAAACAATAAGACAAATATTTACACTCACCATAAAAACTGAACACAAGGATGAACTGAGAAAAAATGAAAACATATTTTTCATGACCAAAACTCATCCATTGCGTTAACAAAATTGTGCTCTCGAAACAAATCACTATTGAAATAACTACGGATATTTTAAACTATACAAAGTAGTTGACCTACAACTTTACTGGCGGCACTATTCATTACTAGGGAAAAAATTTCAAACCTACCTAAACACCTTACTCTCATGTTTAAAGAAAATCTGTTTCTATTTATTTCAGATATTTGCACAAGCAAACGTCATCAATGATTGATTTGCACTAAAAACTGCGAATTATGAAGTTGTCGACAATCGAATCCAAGAAATATTTTAGTTGAACATTGTCAATAAATAACACATTCAAATCATTTTTGTGCATATACATCAATCAAAATCCATTTTTTTTATCACAAAAAAATTGTAATCATGGAATGGAAAATAAGACAGTAAAATTTTAATGTCTTTGTGGGATTTCTTAACGAACATCTATTGCGCTTATCAAATGAGCAATAACTTCAACTAATTAGAAGAAAAATACATGCTCGTATTTTCAACTGTCAAATAAGCTGTCTGTTAGATTCTTCGAAACTCAATGTCTCTTCACAAACTTTGATATTTTACAGTAGAAGTTATCAGGTCTTGGAAGTGTAGATCAAAGAAAATATATTTTTCGGCCACCGTCCGGGAAGTGCTCACTTCCCAAAGACTACCTGGAATTCCTGGGACTACCTGAGGAATTCCCAGAGACTTCCCGGACTTCTCAAGGAATTCCGGGATTTCCTGAAGATTTATCATACATCCCAACACCGAACAACATGTTTTCTTAAGAAGACTGTAAAATGTATTAAATGTTGGTCTCAAATTCAATTTGCTATGCTAATATGGTGTATACAGATAATCATTCTGTGTCCCTTCAGTCATACGATGCAGAAATTAAAAAAATTCATCATGCAATAATAATTGTTCATCTCATAATTAATAATCTGAAATAACTTCATCATTTGATTCTACATAGTGTCTAAAAGAGCGATTGGATAGCGTTAAACTCAAGCTGTTAAAATATCCAATACTATATGTTCTAACGGCAACACATTTCTCATATATCTATAATACATAAATCTAATCAAAAGTCTATTGATTTCCACGTCGTGTATGAATATTAGTTTCGTCATATTTTTACAAATCGAAATTAGTTTGCAGCATTAGTGGAAATGCATAATGTTTTGATCGTTTTTCGTAAAATTGAATAAGCGTGTATGACTTACAAGAAAAAATGAGGCATGGGTAGTAGTAGTAGTAGTAGTAGAGGTGTAGTAGTAATATATCGTCGCTTTAGAGGCTAACTAACAAAATTTGTAAACTCCAATAACTTCATCAACAAAATGTTCGAGAGTAAATAGGGTGAGTTATGAGGACCTTTATACTCATGAGAAAAAGGCATTATAAAATTTTCGAATATTCAAGTATATGCATTTATAACGTAGAATCTGCGTAGTTGGAGTTGATTGTCATTTTGATAAAATGAAACAGTTGTGTTCAAGGTACACCATCATATCAAGGACATCGTAAACTATCGAAAAATGCAATGAAAAATCCAGTTCCGCATATGAAAAAATGAAGTTGATGATGGCCGCTCGAAGAAGAAACGTCAGATTTACAATTCGACAATTCCATTCTGTAGAATAGAAAAAGTGACATTGATTTTTGAATATCTCTTCAAATAAATTGAGTAATTTATAAAAACGATTCCGCATATTTTCCTCTTTTTCTGAATATCTCCGAAAATAATTGAAATTTTCACAATTTCAAAGCAGCATTTTGCTGAGCCCGAAATTGTGCATCTTTGCCCTCATCTCTTAACGTAACCGAGATCCCCATGCTCGGCCACGAATTTGTTACACCCTGTATCGCCCTGTATGTACATCATATTTCAAAAACACCCCGTATATGAATACTTCCCTAATCCCACAAGTTTGGACCAGTGCTGGAACCAACGAAGAAATGCAATAAAAAAAGAATCAGCCTGCAAGTTGCAAGTGTAAGTACTTCATTAGATGTAGCATGCAAGAGTTGGGCTGATAATATTGTCAAAGTTTCTGAATAACAATTGAAGAAAGGGTACCTATCTCCGAAGACGACGAAACTAATACACATTCAGACGTGAAAAGTGAAACATAAATTTTGTATAACCAAATACGCTTTTGTGTCAGTGTTCTTTTTGAAGATAGCTTACTCGCTGGCCTGGATGAATGTCATGCCCGTGAACGAAGGGGAGAGAGTTTCGGTATACATCTCGCATCCAGTACCTTGGAGATAATCATTTTGCCACACTTGAGTATCGGGTGACTGAAAACCATATAGTACCAATACACTGCTAGACAGGCTTGAGAGGGATGGATAGGTATGACCAATCAAATGGAATTATTATATCCAAATAAGTAGAAGAGTAAGGGTAGCATTACCATCGTTCGAAATCGTTCAGTTGATATTCAAGTTTCATTCGAATTGATACAACACATGTTCTTTTATTTTGTAAGCTTTCTCAAGATCAAAATTATTCTGATCTTGTTCCCTCATATTCCATTTCTCAATCAAATATTCAACGATATCGAAATGCTAATTTAGGCTGGAATAAAATGAATAGGTTCGAAATTGTATGCCGAACAATTCAGTATTTATTATTGAAATAATTCTAAATTATATTGAGAAGCTAGAATGAAATCAATGTTTTTGAAACACAGGGCCCTAATTTCGTATTTCCCAATTATTGACAAATTGTGTTGCAATAACTTCATCTGATTTTATAGAACTGAAATGAATATAACAAAAGAAAAATAGATCCAGTACCGCAATAAGTCAGTTTTTTTTTCCAATTTGATTGGCGTATTGTCTATTTTCAAAACAATGCTGATATATATTGTAAGAAAGTTTACTCTCCCCAAGCAATATACATAATCTGACAAAGACTAACTATTCAGTTCACAGATACAATGGAAACATTATGATCAGCAATGTGCGATAAAAAGGGTAACTTATTTTTCTTCCCTTCTTGTGGGCCCAATAAGTGAAGAGAATTCAGACGAACAAGTTTGTTCTTACAACCGCCTCATTCAGTTTTTTTCATTTCAGTTTTATGTACATGCTTCTATACTTCAACTAACAGCATCATTTTCAAAACAGAGTGGGGGTATGTGGATATTTATGTTGTGGAAATAGGAATCAGTGGAATACATTTCAGTATGATTATCAACAGCAGATAGTATAAAATACTAAGTAAACATATGGTCACTTTACTGACTAAAAGAAAAAAACTTATAATAAAATATATTAGATACATAAGTAATATCACACTCATTGATTTGAATGTCTTCTCATTATAAAGGGTGGCCCATTGAAAACGTTCAACCCTAGTTTTCTCTGTTGTGTTGATCGATTTTCGATTTTCAATTCTGAATCTTGAACCACCCTGTATTTGTTCCGATTAAATGTCAGTAGATAGTAAATCAGAAGTTAAGTAAAGGGACATGGAAGCAGTTTTGATCGATAACGAGTAGTTTCGACCTCGGTTTCGACACAAAATAAAAATCCTAAATTCAAAAAGCTTCATTTTGAACACTCTATATCTCTGTAATCATTCCCGCTAGAACCCTATTATTGGTAGTATTGGTAGGTTGGATGGTGACAGATGCGCTGCGACCCAATTAGATCTATTGTGCCCCATCTGCTCCTGCTATATCAAGGATTTCTTGTTCATAGCAGCCCCTAAAAGATTCAATTCCTTCAGGAATTTGAGGATTTTGAGGGGGTCTAGCTGTGGTATTTCTTCCACAGTCAGCTGGTGTGTTCCCAGTATGTTCAATCTTTTGTGATGTACAGCGTCACACTCCATCAGTATGTGATGGGGTGTTTCTGGTTCTTCCTCACAGAATCTGCAGGTGCCGTCCTCCTGTAAGCCTAGCTTCCTTAGGTGTTCTTTGAGTCTGCAATGCCCCGTTAGAAATCCCGTTATTGCTTTGAGACTTCCTTTGCTGAGGTTTGTCAGTGTCTTAGATCTTTCTCGGATGAAATTTCCGAGGAGATCTTTAGCCTGCCGTAGTCCTGGAAGTCTTCTCCTTTGTCTGGCTCTCCAGGCTCCTTTCGCCTTCTCAAGTTCTCCTTGGAAATAGGAATTTCCAAGGCCGCAGAATGGCTCTGGTCCGATCAGTGGCGTTGAAGCCCCTTGTCGTGCCAGAGCGTCTGCTTGTTCATTTCCCTCCACTCCGATATGCCCTGGCACCCAGAGGAGGGTAACTTTATTGTTGCTGCCTAGCTCATTCAATTTGCTTAGGCATTCCCATACCATCTTCGAGTTGATGTAAGGAGAGCTTAACGCTTTGATGGCTGCTTGGCTATCGGATAAAATCGCGATGTCCTTCTTCCGGTATTTCCTGTCTAGTTTGAACTGGATGCATCTTCCTATGGCGTGTATTTCCGCTTGAAAAATGCTGGGGAATTGTCCCATGGATTCGAAGTATTTGGTGCGAGGCCCAAAGACTCCTGCTCCAGTTCCCTCGGGTGTTTTAGACCCGTCCGTATACCAAGTAATGGTATTCCTTCCCAGTGATTCGATGGATTCTGTGCTAGAACCCTAGTGTGATACATTGATGAAATCAGCTCTTCAGGAGGAATCTTGAGATGCTATCAAATACAGGGTGTTCGATTTGAAAATCGAAAGTTAATGCCCTTTACGATTCAATATTTCAACTTTGGAATATTATAATTGCAGAAAAATGTGTCCCCCGCCAAATTAAAATCGACCTGTCCGAGAGGTTTCTCAGTAATTGCAACACAACGGAGAAAACTTGAGTGGAACGTTTTCGATGGGCCAGCCGGTAAATGTTGTTTCTGTTTTGCAGACTATCATTATAGTATGTAAGGATATATAGCTAATAATTTACCTATCTCGATGTTCTAGATTGAAAATTGTATGATGAAATAGATTAGACTTTCGATCATATTTTGTATTTGCGTAACTTCGCCTATTACTCCGACTGAATTTATTTTGTTTATGCGATACATTCATTAGTTCAGTTGAGACCTATAATACCACTATTTTTTTTATTCATTCAACACCAAAGGAAGGCAGGAAAATATCAGGTAGGTACCTTATTTGAATAACGTTTCTGTTTTTGGATCCTAAAGAAATATATCCCAATCCTGTAGATCAATATGGCCACAGATATACTGAGTCACAGTTAAAAGAATATAATTGTATATTCTTTTAACTGTGACTGAGTCTACGTCATTTCGTATTATGATGGTCTGTTTCGCTCTCGGTTTCGCTCACTAACTGATCAGCAATTCGTTAGAAAGTTTCATATGTATGTCGGTACATGAAATATCACGTATATCTATTTATTTCAAGGCAAAACCAAGTGGACCAATGAAATTTTTGGCAATTTTAAATTCACCATAATTTATCGAGAAATGAATTGATTCTCAAACGAGGAAAGTATTGCTTGAAAGCTGCGTTCTTCCTCTTCAAGATTCAGTGTTCAGAACACATCGAAACTCCTCAGTCATGACACAAGTATTTGCAAAAGTGTTACAGAAATGAAAAAGTTTGGGTGCCCCCCATTTCTGTAACACTTTTTTCAAACACTGAATCTCAAAGAAGAAGAACGCAGCTTTCAAGCACTGCTTTACGATTGAGAATCAATTGATTTTTTTGAAAATTATAGCAAATTAAAAATCGGCAAAAACTTAAGTGGTCCTCTTAATTCTTTGAGCACTTCGATCCATGTGAAGATTAGACAGATAATTTTATTTATACATGTTGATTATATTCCTAAACTCATACACATTTCATGTACCCAATTCCGGTAGCAGCAATAATTGCATGTTGAATATACCAGGTCTCATCAGTTTTGAAAAAGTATATTTCCGAACTATTTTAGTATCGAGCATGTATATAGCTATACTTTCCATTGTACACTACACATTTCTCATCATATAAAAATAAATCGTTGATGATTTTCAATAGTCAGGGCCTTTAGCGCTTAGAGAACTGTCGAGCAGGAAACGGTGAAAATTTTTGTGAAAATGTTCATACATCATCTAAATATAATATATATACCTCTCTCGGAATGATCTGCATTAATATGTAACATTTGCATGACTTAAGGTGAGGATTTATTTCCTAATATCAGTGTCAAAAGGCTAACAAAGCATGACTAAAGTAAGTTGATTTTCGACAATAATATAGAATATAGAATTAAATATAAAAAATTGACTGCATGAAGATGCAAAACTTGATAAATGCGAGGCTCAGGTTATTTTGCTAATTTCTAGAAATCCTGATCCAGAAGTTACAAAATATATATGGGTATAGATGATTTAATAATCATTCACTTGCAAAAGTTCATGAGAAGTTCTGCCGCATGCGCATAGTGTTTGTTCCACGATTCGACTGCTCGGTGGTAACGAGATGTGACATGATTGTGTTTTACAGTTCAATATATAGACGAGACGATAATTTTACTGTTGTTAACTTCGTCGGCTTATCAGGAATTGTAAGCCCATCCCTTACCTTCGCTCCCTTTCTGCGAGTGCAAAGCAAAAATCAATGTTCACCAAACGTCATTTGAAATATTTTATTTATGTGACATACCTATAAGAAAATGCAAGTTCTGTAAAATCACATCTTGACGCAAAATTACGCGTTACAGAAATATCTACGATTGTAGTATTGCGTATTGCTTGTTCGAAATAATATCATCCTCGCTTCGATCGTTTGCCAACTCACAAACACTTTGACTCTCTATAACAATATATCTCATCCTTTTCATTTCAATTTTATGTATTCAATTCTACATCTGAATTTCTGATGAAATGAGCTATATTTGCATGCAACTTGAAATAACCCTTTAGGTACTATTTATAATTCCATCAGTATTATATGGTCTCTTGGGGCATCCTATACGAATCTCTATTGTTCATTTCAATGCCTAATCTTGTTATTATGATTTTTCAATATATTGAAAAATAAATTCAATATATATTGGAAAATAAATCCAATATATTGGAAAATGAATCCAATATATTAGAAAATAAATCCAAAATATTGGATTTTTTTTCAATATATTGATTTTTTTTTTCCAACATATTGGATTTCATTTCCAATATATTGGATTTATTTTTCAAAACATTGGAAAATCATAATAACAAGATTAGGCATTGAAATGAACAATTGATAGATTCGTATAGGATGCCCTTCATAGTATTTTTACAATACATATTCTTGAAGGTCGAATCCATAATCTGATGATATTCAGAGGGTATAAATATGTAAGTTTTAATTTTTGAAG